CGGCTGGAGCCAGGCTCGCCCTCAGGGCCTGCAGGCCCCTCCGGACCGGCTCTGCACCCTCCCGGCTGGTGAGGGCAGACGATGATGGTTAGAGCGGTAAACCCCTAAGCATGTTCCCAGAAGGGCGCAGACCCCGGGGCGATCCCTCCCCACCCCAGCGCCGGGCCTTTTTGCCTCGTCCTTCAGCGTCTCGGCCGAAGGTGAGGTGAGGCTCCTTCTCTTAAGCCGCGGGGCCCCCTTGGTTTCCTGGCCCCAAAGCCTCTGGTGTTGCTGGTACTGATCTGCGTGCCCAGCCCGTTTGCCGTAGTTCTGAGGCCTAACCGTGCTCTGTACGCTGAGTTCTGTGTCGAGACCTGGGCGCTATGCTGCGGAGCTGAGGATCCCCTCTGCAACTTGCCCTTCCCTCTAAACTAGAGACTTTAGGCATGCTTTCAGAAACTTTTCTGGAGGGAAAGTGGCCACTCCCAATTCTGTGTCCTCTCTGGGATTAAGGCAAATCACAGACTGCATGGCTCTGATTGAATGAGGCTACAAACATCCGCAAGCCCTGGTTCCTTTCCTTTCTTTTAAACTTTATTTGGGCTTGCAGTGATACTTCAGAGCTGCCCCTGCCCCCCCCCGGGGGGGGGAGGGGGCGGGCTAAGGAAGGTGTAACATAATGCTGTTGAGAGAGAGGAGTGGTTGGGTATGTTGATGGTACAGGGTGGGTGGGGTGGGGACTGGAGAGTGCCTGAGAACAGGTCTGAGAAAGGAGACAATGTTTAGGTTTTGTAGTATGAACAGTTTAGTAGTCAGGAAGGCATTCACAAAAAAGGAAACAGCCTGTGTGAAGGTACCGAAATTTCCTGGCAGGTTCAGCGACCTGTGAAGTTGTAGTGGTTGAAAGACCAGCTGTTGATGGTGGTTTAGGTGTGCAGTGTCCAGAGCTGAGAACTGGTGTTTCCTCAGACCCTGTTCATTGATGGGCTGCCTCCTGGACACCCCCTACTGGGGATGGAGCCTGCAACCTGAACATGTGCCTTTGACCAGAATCGAACCAGGGACCCTTCAGTCCACAGGCGGATGCTCTATCCACGGAGCCAAACCAGCCAGGGCCCTCAGACCCTGTTCTTAAACCTGCTGGGAGGCCCAGACTGGCTGCTACTGCAGCAGGCACTGGTGCTCACGCTGGGTGGGGTTAACTACCCCCTATTTCCTGAGAAAATCCATCTGCTGCCTGGAACCATGGAGCCCTTTGCACCAGGCCTGGAATGTGCTCCCTTTACTCATGAGCTTGGCTTGGGCCTTTCATGCTCCTCAGCTGCTAGGTAGACTAAACTCCACAAAGGTTTGGTAGAGCCTGGCATGGCCAACCTTGTGCCGTTTGTCCTCTGGATAGCCTTCCTGGGAGGGAGAGTGGTCAGCTTACCCCTGAGCAGCTGAAGTGGCTCTGATCCAAGTGAAGTGGCCTGGAGACTTTTTTTCTGAACTCCTTGTTTATTGATTGATGTTTTGATTCTCCTCTTTGTCAAGGAGCTCTGGCTTGTCTCCTCTCATTGGAGGACCATGTCAGACCCCAGATATTTTTGTGCCTAGAAACTTGATGTGATCCAGAATGTGGATCCTAGTCTCCTTGGCACCTGGGAGTTTTGGAGTGGTGTCAGAGTCTAGGAGGGTGCTTGAAACTCAGTGAATGCCAAACAACTAAAATGCTGTCTTTCCTGACTCAACACACTACCCCGTAGTGTCTCTCTTCTTTGTCCAGCTCTTCATGTTTATTCATCCTGAGTTTACCTGCCCAAGGTAGCTTCTTCTGAGCCATTTCTCTGTGGGGCAGGCTCCTTTCTTCCATACTTCCACATCTTATCTCTCCCCTCCCATGCCTTAGGAGCCCATCTTTTCTTCTCCAACCCCTGCCACTACCTCGGTCTAGCCCTGGTATCTCTCACCTAGATTCTCAACTATTCTGCATACTGCCTTAGAGCAATGAGCCCTCTGGCCAGTGCTGACCATGTCACCTTCCCTTTAAAAACTCTTGTGGTTCTCATCCCCACAGGGAGAATCTAAACACCTCACCCTCATACCTGATTCTTCTGGAGCCTTGTTTTCCCTTTATCCTTCCCATGTTTGTGTGTTCTAGCTACACTGGCTCTGATGGCAACTCTTCTATGAAATTTGTCCTGACCCGTCCCATGTCCTCCCTCACGTACACATAGTCCCTCTGTGTTGACTCACTCGGGCCTGAGTATTAATTGGTCTTAGCAGTGGTTCTCAACCTTCTGGCCCTTTAAATACAGTTCCTCATTTTGTGACCCAACCATAAAATTATTTTTGTTGCTACTTCGTAACTGTAATGTTGCTACTGTTATGAATTGTAATGTAAATATCTGATATGAAGGATGGTCATAGGCGATCCCTGTGAAAGGGTCATTAGACCACCAAAGGAGTCGCGACCCACAGGTTGAGAACCACTGCCTTAGAGGATCCTTGATGGCTTGCACCCCGCTCCCAGGTAGAAGAGCCTCATGCTCATCCTTGGTCCTGGTATGCATTGGGTTCACCTTACGTGTTATGGAATGAGAGATGAACAAAGGGCCTTCCTTCCCATAGACGTGTCTCAGTTGAGTGTTCCTGAGTACCTGATGGTTCTGGAGGGAGGCTCTGCAGGAAGAGAGGCCAGTAGGCAGGTGAAACAACCTCATGATAGTGGTCCTACCTGTCCTCAGGCCCCAGTGCAGAGAGCCAGCGGCCATCTAACACCTACAATGGTGACCTCAATGGGCTCCTGGTCCCAGACCCCCTCTGCTCAGGGGATGGTACTTCAGC